AGACTTAAACAGATAAAGTGGGGAAGCAAAGAAAGGAAGTTATCTGACTGGCTGTGACTTAAAGTCTAGTTGGCTGCATGTGACTGGCTGTCCTCAGAGTTTTGATTTCATAACCTGAGGCATTTGCAGACTTAGATTTGGGTTTGCTTGGGTAGGCTGGCATGGCATCAGCGCCCCATCAGTTAAATTCATTTAACAGACTGCCTCTCTCAGGCTGCACACCACGGCTCACACGGTTCTCTTCCACTGCCGCAATACGTCCTGGAGGCTGAGGCCTGGTGGAGGCTCTGGCTCTAGCTCGTGGCTCTCTTCTGAGCTGCGGACTCAGACCTCATCTCTCATCACACTGCCAGTCACACTGAGCTGCTGTGGAACAGATCACACCGTGCCTTACCACTTGCTCTTCTTTCTACCTAGAACTCCACTGGACAAAAACCACCGACATGCCCATTCACTGCCTTTCTAACTTGCTAACTCCCTAGATCTTTCTAGACTCAGTGCCAGTGTAGTTCTTCTTGCTCTGTCCCTCATTTCTCTTTCTAATTTTTAAGCCCTTTCTCTAGTACCCTCTGCCACTGCCTTCTTTACTGCAGTACTTACAACCAACTGTCAAGATTGATTAATTTGTTTCTGTTTCCAAAACAAGAGCCCCTTGAAAGGCCAGGGCCAACCAGATCATGTTCTTGTTATGTTTTCAGTGCCTTAGCCCCATGCCTGTGGCACAGTGGTGCTCAATAATTATATGTTGGATAAATGAATACATAAATAATTAAATGGACACTAAAGTTCCAGAGGGCCAGTGAAGAAGTGGTCTCCCCATGCCAGACTCTTCCTCTGAGAAAAGTAGTTCAGGAGTGCTTAGTGGAGAGTTAAGCAGTGTAACCATTATTTATGTGCAGTTTAACTAGTTAGTTGACCTTTGGTGGAGTAAACCTGGAACTCTGTCTCTGTGAGGGGTGTGGGGAATGTTTCACATTCCTGTGCCAGCTGTATATCAATACAGCTTTTAATCATGACTCTGTTTTGGCCAGGAGTTCAGGGTACTCATGCCTGGGCCTTCTCATTCATTTGCTCTCTTGCACTTTCAACAGTGTCTCCTTCTGCACCACTTCCATAGCATTCAGGAAATTGCCAGGATGGCTGAATGGAGAGAATGGCTTCCTGCCATGCACCCTCACTGCCCCCAGGACCCTGACTGGGACTCTGGGAAGCAGTGTGGTGGTGACTCACTGGCTGAGGCTCCCTCTCCTCTCTCCTTCTTGTTTGACACTGACTTTGGCCACTCATATTTCTCCGGGGCAGCTGAGTCCTCAGTGTTCGGTTTACTTCCTGCTGAAATGACTCCAGAAAATGGGACCACCTGCCTCACCTGTGCAGTTGTCCTGTAAGGCTAGACCAAGAGGCCATGTGCTAGATAAATGAGAAAGTGAACAGAGTGAGTTAATTTAAATGACCCAGGGACCCACAGGTAACTCTTACTTATTGATTTCAGCACCTGAGTGAACATACAGGTGACTGGACAGCCAAGCATGTCTAATTTTCTAGTGTTCTTCCTACAGTGTGTTAGAAAGAAATGTATTTGCAAGGAAACAAGATTTATAAATCCCACAAGTTCTGAAAGAGGTAGATTGTGAAAGTCCTACATTTTAGACCCACGGATGGCACCAAAGATTGCTAGAATGAGGAAGAAACTTGAAGAAAGTCCAACCCCTTAATTTCTTAGATAATAAGAATAATTAGCATTCTTTGAGAATTTACTATGTACTGGTATAAGTATCATCTTTCCATTGCCTCATTTAATCTTAAAAATAACTCGGGAGGTAGGTCTTATTTTTCTCTTCTTAAAGATGAGGAAATTGGTGTTCAGGAAGTGAAATAAATTACTTGATGTCATATGACTAGTGGGCAGTGGAGCCATAGCAGGATCTATAGGACTCATACTTTTACATTTGTATTAGCTGCTACTTATTTCAGAGTATGCCAGACACTGGGATGAACCCTTCACATGCACAAAACCATGAAATCTTCTTGACTTCGAGAGATAGATACTGTTTTTTCTCTGCTAGGTAGATTATGAAACTGAGTCTCAGAGAGGCCAAGGGACCTATTCAAGGTCACACAGTAGAATGGAACTAGAAATCAGGCCTTTTTTTTCAGGCAAGTGTTCCTTAGTTCTCTCACAGTATGTCAGTGTTTCTTAAAGTCTTAGGAGGTATATTTGACAGGTATTCATTTTCTAATCCTAGAAGGTGGGGGAAAGTTAAGGTGCCACTGTTATTTAGCACTTTTCCTATCCACTGCATGTTCTCTCCCAGGTATCACAGGGGTTCTGGAACTGCATCCCAGAATCCTTTGCCAGCAGGGTTCAGCTTTAGATTCCACAGTTGAAAGGAATAAGCAGAAGATTTGGGAAAGGACGAGCAGCAGAAATCATTCTCTCTTTCATCCCATCTCCTACTACTCCCCCTCATTTACTCTAGTCTGCTTGTCCTCTTTGTTGTTTTTCAAACTCTCCAAGAATACTATACTGTCAGGAATTTTGCACTTGATCATCCTTCCACCTGGATTGGTCTTTCTCAGACATCCACATGGCTTTCTCCATCACATCTCCATAATGTCTTTCAAACCTTTGTTCATGTCCCCTACTTACTGAAGTCTTCTCAGAGTACCTTATTTAGAATTGTAAAATTCATCCACGCATATGCTGTCCCCCATTCCTTGCTTCAATTTCTTTCAGAGCATGCATCATCACTGATATATATTTTATGTCTTAATTCATTTCAATCTATTTCCACTGGAATTTAAGCCCCACAAAGGCAATTACTGTGACTTTTAATTGTTGATTCCCTAGTCCAGAAACATACTTGGCTCAAATTAGGCACTCAATAAATATTTCTTGAATGAATGGGAATAAATACTGCCCCTGACAGGTGACCACAGGTGGTGACTCTGTGAATGTGGCACTGGTGCACTCTTGAAAGTCAATCATAAAAATCTCATTTGTTTTGATCCAGAGCCTGCCGTTACTTGCCTTTATTCCTGCTCTTTCTTGACACTGATCTGTGAGGGCATCTGTGTTGGATAAGAGATCCAATTTTTCCATAAAAAAATGCAGATGGAGTTATTAGGAAGGCAGTTCACAGCAGGGCGACTCCTGCTGCCAAGCATTCATAAGATCCCCTTTGTCATGGCAGTCAGTGATGTGCCAAGGGGGAGGCGGTCAGGGCTGTCTGCCCTGATGGGGAGGAGCATTTCGTCACTGAAAATGTTTAGGATTGCCTGTGCATGGTGGTAATAGAAAGCAGACTGATTTGCAGTTGGTTTTAATTATAGTCTTTTAAATAAAATGCACTCCTTATTGCCTTCACATGTTGTGGACCACTCCTACTGTTGTACCCCCAGTGTACTACAGATAGCAGCAGAAAGGTGGCTGCGGGTCTGAAGCTGACCTCTAGGAGGTGTGACCACAGTGACTGGGTGCTCACAGTCCACTCTATCACTGGTCACTTGCAAGGAAGCCTAGTGTGGGTACTTATGCAGATCTTGAATTTCTTTAGTTTGTTCACTGCTCCTGATGACTCAGCCTTATTTCCAAGTCCTGAATTTCCATGTTGGGGGTCAGAGCAGTACTGGGTATATTACCTATTGCTTTGTAACAAATTATTCTAAAATTTAATGGCTTAAAACATTTATTATCTCAGAGTATTTGAGTGCTAGGCAACCAGGGCCGCTTAACTGGGTCCTGTGCTTCAGGGTCTCTCACAGGCTGCAGTCAAAGGGTAGGTTGGAGCTGTGGTGTTCTCAGGTTTCAACTGGGGAAGCATCCACTTCCAAGCTCACTCACATGGTCGTTGGACAGCCTCTGTTCCTTAAGAGTTGTTGGACTGACAGCCTCAGTTCCTCACTGGCTACTGGCCAGAGACTACTGTCAGCTCCCTGCCACGTGGGCCTCTTCACAGAGCATCTCACAACATAGCAGAGTGAGCAAGTTTGAAGGCGAGAAAGAACACCTGCAAGGAGAGGGAACTAGCAAGACAGAAGTCACGGTTTTTATTACTGACCTCAGAAGTGATATCTCATTATTTTATTGTGTTCTGTTAGTGAGAAGCAAGTCACTAGGTCCAGTACACATACATACATGGGAAGGGATTACAGAAGGGTGTGAGTACCATAAGGCAGGGATTATTGGGAGTCATTTCAAATGCTGCCTACCATGTTGGACTTTGTTAGTTTTCTCCACATAGTTTAGCCATGGATTGACCTTGGGAGTGGTACTTTCCTAAGCCAGACCCTATTTTTGCTATTTCTTGCAGGACTTCCTCAATACTTCTGGTTGATTAATGGGTTTATTTTCTGGGTTATGCAGAGGATGAAAATTTTTTCTGCTTTGAAATTTCAAAGTGAATTTGGAAGGAAGGAAGTGGAATATGTAGGATCAAGCATTATTTTTATGTGGAAGTTTTTGATTGATTTTTAAGGAGATGGGCAATACAGTTCTTGAGGTCCTGCCTATGACTATGTCTTACTATTGCTTTTATGCATAAAAGATTTACATGAATATCAAATATTGATATGTATCAATCAACTCATTTCACTCAGAACTCTGCTGATTTTAGTTCACTACCTTCTACAATTGTTGTTATAGAGGAGAAGTCTGAGGCTAACTTGGTTGTTGGTCATTGCTAGTAGATGTTTTCATTGCCCTCCTCACATCACCTAACTATTCACCACTTCAGTATGTGCAGATAGCATCCTGCTACAGTTACCTTTGAGTTTCTGTCTGAGGGCTTCTGCCAGCATGTGGGCTGAAGATGGATGGTAGTTCAAGATAAATATGCCAGCTTCCTGATTCCTTGGGGGGATAATATGGAGGTGTGCTCTATATTCCTAGATTTCTCCATTAGTATTGAGCCCCTGTTGCCCATAGCTGTAATCAGTTCAGTGAAGATCCCTTTGATGATTCCTTTCTCTTCCTTGTCTCATATCCCCTGTCCCTGTAGGTGTCTCCTGGGATCACCAAACCCCTGTTTCAGAGCCTGCTCTTGGGGGAAACCACTGGAAGACAATTCTTTACAGGTGAGTTTGTTCAAGTATACATAACCTTGTTCAGATGTTTGAAAGATTTTTAAAAATCTGTCTTAATTACTCAAAATTTTGTCAGGTTAGCCTAGAGGTTATATGTTTTTACCTCATTCTTCCTGGACTTTAGAAACCCTTTTAACAAATACATGCACTGGCCTTCCCTCAGCTCAAGGATTTTATTAAACTATAGCTTTGATTATTCTTTGTCAACTTATTTTGATTTCCTATTCATAAAGTTCAACTTTTTTCTGCTCTCTCCTCTAATATCACTAAATACCTGAAAATTCTTTCTCCATTCTCTTCTTCCATATCTGTAATCATCTTTCATTACCTACATGCATTTGTCCTTATTCCTTGAATTTAAGAAGGCTTTTTCAAGTTTGTTACCCCCATTACTCCTTTAGTGTTCTGCAGCATACGTTTTGCTTTTTTGCTCCCTCAGTATGGTCTAAAACTCTGCTATTATGTGTTCCCAATTCCTCATTATCTCAACCATCTCTCCCTTTCATCTCATCTCAGCTTTCAAAATGACTCATTTTGTTTCACATATGACATATATTTTACACTTCATTGAAATTTTCTGATATTTTTGTTTAGGTCCCACACTTTATGGTATTGTAGAGGTATGCTCCTCTCTGGGTCTTCTGAATGCTGCTTTTCCCTCTTGTTCTGTAGTTTTACGTTTGTTTTTTTTTCACGTTGACATTTCTCCTCTCATCCTTGGTAAAGATAACATCTATCTAGACTTAGTGTTTATCAACAAATAAGGTGATTGCTTTGGCCTATGTGCTTCTTCATATTTGTATAGTGATCAAATCCCTTTCTCAGATGCCATTTTGGAAGAGGGAAGATTCATGTACATAGGTCCTAGATAAGTTTCCATTTTCTAGCAAGCATGAACCTAGTGAGGACTTTTTGTTCCCTAATTTTTTGGGACGTGAAAAACCATAATTAAATTCCCTAGAGTGATCCATGCCTTTTTTAGTTGTGACTTTTAGCCCCTCCCCCATTTCTTGCCCATTTATTTTCTTGGATTTACAGACACTGCAAGGATGTAATAAAATCCCAGTGGAGGTGGGAAGGAGTAGTTTCAGGAGTTCAGAGATCTTCGCATTCCACAGTACAGTCTAAGTATGATAGAGGGATGATGTTTTCAGAGCAGGCCCTACATGTCGATTTAAGAAACATGTTATGTTGCAAGGGTTAGGGTAGATTTTTCTTTTTTCTTTTTGGTATCATTAATCTACAATTACATGAGTGACATTATGGTTACTAGACTGCCCCCATCATCAAGTCCCCACCACATATCCTACTACAGTCAGTCCATCATCCTAGTAAGATGCTATAGAGTCACTACTTGTCTTCTCTGTGTAGTACAGCCCTCCCCATTCTCCCCACCCCCAACATTATGTCTGCTAATTATAATGCACTTTTCCCCCCTTGTACCTCCCTTCCCACCCA